GCACAACCGGCCAGCCCTCGCCACGGGACCGCATCTGCCTACAATTACGGGCGAGTTATTTGTACCAAAACCGCACCTCTCCTGCCGCGGGTCTGGGGCACCTCCGGATGTCACTTGCTTATCTCCAAGGCTACCCTGCACTTCACAGAACCGCGTCCTGCTCCTGTAGACTCTAAGTACCAAGGTTAGACCCGTCCGGCCCGACGGGGCGGTCAGCAACCGGCTACTTGCAAATCAAAGCCTCCACCCCCGGCAGGCCCGGGACAGAACCGCAGCGAGCGCGGGGCCAAGCGGCACCCGCAGCTCATGACGACCATCAGCTCCAAACTCCGGGCAGGAGCCGGGGCTCATCTTCCAGACCGCAAACTCCTCCGTTTCTCTTAAACGCTTAAATTACGGAGTGCTTCTCCCTTAACTAACGCGGGCACCACAGAGCAGTGATTACCCCAAACCGGCTAATTCTTCAAGCAGGGCAATTATTGATTTCCAAAGAAGAGCGCTTCGCATCTCATTTTTAATCACTTTTTGTGCTGTTCAAAGGGAAATTAGCCGAGGCAGGAAGGGGGGAACTGCTGCTGGGAAGGCTGCTGGGAAGAGGCTGCTGGCCCCTCCTGCCACCCTCGGGAAACTTTTTTCCATCCTGGTAGAAGTTACAGCCTGAGAAACAGCACTGTGCTAATCGCAGTGAAGACAAATTGACTCCATAGCTCAGCTATAAAGGGCAAATACTATGTTTCTCTGTCCTCTCAGCTGCACTGAGACCGTGTCATCTGATACGTTTGTCTCACGTAAGATTTGGAAGAGAGGGGCTCTCTGCCCCTCACCCCAAACAACCCAAACCCTTTGGACTTGCAGGCTGTCCATGCTGCTTCCAGGGTCACAACCAAGCCAAGGGACTTTTATTAAATATTCACCAGGTAACACACAGAAAAGACTATGTCCAGAGGTGACCTCTCAAGCTGCTTTTTCTGTCCCCTACAGCGACTTACGCAGCACCCATTCCCCTCAGAAATTACAGAAACCTCGTCTCTGTCCCGAGTGAAACTGGAAATCCCAGAAGCACAGTGGGTCCCTCCACTCCTTGCTCCATCTTTAGGCTTCTTCCACCAGTTTAGAGAGGATTTCTGCTCCCTTTGAGGTAATCACAATGGTATGTTCAAACTGCGCTGATCTGAAATGCACATTTAGCAGTTATTAGGGGGCAAATGCATCCATCGTGCCCGTAAAACTCACCCTTTTTTTAAATTTTTTTTTTTCTTTCGGCTGTCAGTGATCAGCTCCACAGCTTAGGAAAAATCATAAAATAAAATCGGGCACCTTTTATTGTCTACAGAAATTGCAGTCCATTTATCCTTCAGAATCTTAAATTCGGGGGATCCTTCCGTTATTATTGGCTCTGCAACAAGAAAAACAAAATGTTTTCTAAAGTTAGTCGCGCTCCCACGTGGACTGTGAAGCAAAAAAGGAGGGTGTCCCACAGGTAGCTCCCCTTCCGCACAGGTCCCGTCCTCCCTTGGGCTCTTGCAACACTAAAATGTGAACTAAAGAACGAAATATGGAGATAGGAATTTGCCCGTTCCTCCTTTGTAAAAGCGGGGAATTTTAATCAAGCTTTAATTAAGACCCCGTGGATAATAACCAAAGCACCAACCACACTTACAAACAGCAGATAGTTTTAGATATTTGAATTTTTTAAACAGGCTTAAAATGTTCATTAAATCAGCAAAACAACAATTTTCTTATTTCCCTCTAATTGCCACGCCATTTAGCCACACAGTGAGGAAGAGGGCTTTTCCCCACCACCTCTCCATCACTGGTATTGAGCACGTTCCGTCTGCGGGGCCAGGCTCCCACTGGTTACCGGCGCTGCAGCCCCCAAACCCAGAGAGCCGCTCTGGCAGCAGCAAAGGACTCCAGAGCCACTCGGCTGCTCGCGGCTTCGGGGACACGATCGCATGCTTCTCGTCCTCCACAGCCCACGCGTGCCGGCTGAGTCTCCGCCTCGCCAAAAATACGCCTCAAATATGTGATTTAATAATGTTTGCAATAAACATTTCGTTCTCTAAATCTTATCATTTGGAAGCTATTTCACCCAATTGGTTCCTTAATGCGTTTTTTTTTAAATGATATTTTAATCTGCTTCCTAGGGGGTCAGTGTCGCCGACATCCCCCTATCTACATGGATATTTCTATACCCCAATAAAGAGACGGTACGGATATGGGCTGCTCTGTGCGTCCTTTTTTAAAGAAAACCATAGCAGAGAGTTACTAACCTATTGTGAACGCCATTCCCTCTTCCATTAACAAATCACTGTCATTGGCTACAAAAGAAAATAAAAACGCGTTTATGGCTGTTGGGGATTTTTTTTTTTTTTAAAGTAAGCGCAACTGGGACTTGGTTTAAACCCCTTTTGGCCCCGCAGGTACCGTGCACGCCGGTCCCCGCCATGAACCGGAGCACCCGCCAAAAGCGATCCCCCCCG